TATAAGTCTGTTACTAAAGCTAGCCACTTGTGGTATTTCTGTTACAGCAGGTCTCAGAAACTAAGACATACCCCCAGGATCAAGCCTTGCTGCTGCACATAACACATCCTCATTTATGTTACTCTGTGTAGCCAGTAAAAAGAATATTCACATTTTGGAAAACAGTATCATTCCCTTAGTAACCACAAAGGCTGGCTGTAAAAATACTACAAGTTCCTGTAGCTAATAAGGGTTATTTGTGAGTGGTAAAATAGTAGGCAGTTCTATTTCAGACTTTAAAATAGCTTTGTATTTCCTGATTCGTCAAAACTAGATATACCTTAGTCATAATTAAACATACAAAAATGCAACTGTAAGATATGAGTTATAATGATCCATCTATTTTTTAATCCCTCTTACCCTTAAGGTCACTACTCGTGCTTTGGGGTTTCGAACAGACGGTCCCGATGAAACATAATCAGCTGTGTCAATTTCAATAGGAAAATGCTTCTCACATTTCTCATCACTGTCTAGTGCCGCTGGCCACTCAGTGCAGAAATCTGAGAAGTTAAAAAATGATAGTTTAGCAAGTAAATTCTCATTTTGATGTATGCTCTGAGACAAAACTAAATTATTGAGAGATTATTGTCAGGTTACATGACATGAAAGTACAGTTTCTCCTCATCATTTAATATACACATCACCGTCCCTCATCTATCTTGTTTAGCAGATTCCAATGAGAGGTCTTAATCAAGGGATACATGGGATATGTCAAATTTGACGGGGAAGGGAAAATTGAATTCAAAGGGAATTGTGGTTTCCCAGGAGTGTTTATAACTCTGTGTTCATATCTATAATGGTATAATTGAATTCATTTTCCCCAGTGTAAAGTGGAGAGTGAATAGTGCCTAGTGTTTCTGGACAACATATAATATTAATTCATTTCTAAATGAAGTTTACTAAAGAGAAATGGAAAGGAGCTAAAAGGAACTTTGAAAAAGTTTGAAGAGGGGACCGAGGTGTGGCCAATAATCTTCCAGAAGTGAAGTTGAATAAAGCCCCAGCTGAAGTAGACTAAAAAGCGGATGAGTTCTTACAGTAACTTATGCTTCTGTAACTTCTGTGCCAATGGGATTACACAGCAACAGTAGGTGAGAGAATTAACCGAGGGAGGAGGCGGGGCTGAGTCAGGTCAGCATTGTGGGGGGATACAATTTCAAGGCCAAAAGGTAGATCCCAGCCTCTTGCAAGTACCTGTAGGTTGGTCCCATCTTGCAGTATTCTTAGCAAGTTAGGTGGTAGAGAATCCTCAGGATGGGGAGAAAATTCCTTATCCTAACAATTTCCCTTCAGTAGATATCTCACTTCTTAAGTAGTCTCACTCCAAAAACAGCTAAAAGTAACTGACCAAACACTTAGGTCAAACACATCAGGCCTCGTGGACTCCAGCTTCCCTACAAGCCTGATGCAGACGAGGGTGATGTGGGCGCCCTTCTAGGTGGAGATCTAGGTGACAGTGAGTAATTGCACTGCCAATGATCTGTCCCTGAGCTAGCCATTTCTTACAGTAGGCACTACATTGAGCTTTTCAAAGCAGTCATCAAAATGTCAGTTTGAGTTAGAGACTCTGCGTTTGGGATCTAAATACATGTTATCAAATCAAGTACAGCTAACACCATTCCCTAAACATCCCGCTTAAGAGATCAATATGCAGTCTCTTTGAGGGGAAAGAAGTATCTTTGCAATTAAGAGCATTTGACATTTAAAATGGGCAGAGCAAGATTACTGGGGTTGAATTTCATTCTCATTCTGGGCTAATTCCTGCATCTTGCACTATAAGCTGCACCACAGCCAAAAGAGAAACTAGTTGGAAAATTTTCTAAACTTTTGGGTTTACAATGAATTCCCCC